TTGAGGTGAGCTTCCCTGCTTCCTGCTGGATGGACCTTTTGTCACATGACCACTCGCCGGTTTAGGAGCCAGGAGGGCGGGGAGGGAGTGTCTCAGCCCCAAGGGAGGTTTGTGGAGGCCCTGGCCCGTGGGGAGGGCCGTCTCACAGCTGAGCTGAGCTCACAAAAGAGGTGCCGCCTCCTGGGCTCCGTCACGGTCAAGTTCACGTTCCTGTCGGGAGACGGACGCCCGATGGGCCCCCTGAAGAGGCGGGGTCCGGGCCTGTTGGCTGGGAGTCGCACAGGGTCGGCGGCTGCGTTGGCCTCTCCTCTCCGAAGGCCCCGGTGAGAGAGCCAGGCTTCGTTCTCAGCTGAGGAACATAGTGCTTCAACAGGCAAGGCCGGTGCCTCAGGGCTGAGCATCCACCTCTAAACCAGGAGGTCAGGGTTCGATTCCGGTCAGGGCACAGGCCCTGGTTGTGGGCTCGATCCCCAGTGGGGGGCGTGCAGGAGGCAGCTGATGCGCGATTCTCTCTCATCACTGACGTTTCTCTCTCTCCCTTCCTCTCTCTGAAATCAGTAACAACATATTAATAACTATTTTAAAAGACACACAGGGTAGCTGCCCCCGGTGCACAGTGAATGGGGAGACAGACGATAGTCCAGCTCGGGGCTTCTGAGAGGCCCCCTCTGCCCGGGTCCCGGCACTCGGGCGGTTTCCGAGCCTCGGAAGCACGGAGGGCTCGCCCTGGCGTCCCCGGCCGGGGCGCGGGTTCTGAGCGGCGCCTCCCGCAGGCGGAGAGCTCTCGGACGACGCGGAGCCCCAGCCCGTCAGTGACAGCGGCGCCGCCGGCCTGGCCCTCCCGCCCGAGATGCCGATCCTGATCGACCTCCACGCCCTCAAGGACATCCTGGGGCCCCCGATGTACGAGATGGAGGTGAGCGCCTCGCTGGCGGAGCCCCCCTCACCCTGCTCTTCCTGAGGGGCGGGCCAGGGCCTCCGTGCTGCCCGGCTTCTCCGGGACCACGGCCACCATCGGGCTTCACCCTGCGCCCAGAGAGTCAGCGCAGCCCGGCCTGCACCCCGCTCAGCCTGCCGCCTGCCGCTCCCGGTTCGAGGCGCTGGGTGGGTGTGCTGGGCGCGCCGACCAGTGTCTGTGGGTGGGAGACGTCTAGCCCAGAGGAGCCAGGGTGGCGGGTCATTCCCCTGCACCCTGGGATTTCGTAGCCGAGGTACGTTCACCTCCCTGGCTGGCCGGCCAGGCCCACGGCCCGGAGTTTGCAGTGGAGGGCGGCCTCTGAGCGCCCGGCCAGGCCTGGAGTCAGGGTGAGCGCAGAACAGTGAAGAGAGGACTGGGAAGTGGCAGGGAGGCCCTCGATGTGCGCGTCCACTCCCTCGGGTGGGTCCGAGGGGTCCCGCTTCCTGAAACGGCCATGTGCTAGTGCTGGCTTCGGGCACACTGCGGGCACAGGCGGTGAGGTGGCCGGCAGCCAGCGGGCTCGTCCCGGAAGACAGGTGTGTGGGCTGCTCCGGGCCCTGACAGCAGACATTTAGGTAAAAGGCTCCTGAGAGAGGCCCTCACCCGCCCCCTCCTCTGCAGGTGTCCGAGCGCCTGAGCCAGCCGGGCGTGGCCATCGGCCTGGCGTGGACGCCCTTGGGCGGGGAGATCATGTTCGTGGAGGCCAGCCGGATGGACGGCGAGGGCCAGCTGACGCTCACGGGTCAGCTGGGGGACGTCATGAAGGAGTCCGCCCACCTCGCCATCAGCTGGCTCCGCAGCAACGCCAAGAAGTACCACCTGACCAACGGTGAGTGCCGGGGGGGGCGGGGAGGGGGGGCGCCGAGCTGAGCCTGCGGAGGGGCCGCGGCTCTCAGCCTGTGAGGGACAGAGCCGGAGCCGAGCTGCGGCAGCCACGCCGTCACTGAGCGGCCTCTGGCAGCCCGGGGAGCTCGGGCCAATCAGCAGTGCAGGCCGTGCCCCTCCCCACATGGGACGGGGACACGGCCCCTCATGCCCCGGGGCCGCCGCCATTAACGTGGTGAAGGGAGGAGTCCTTTACCCACGATGTGCTGCTTTTTTACATTTCCCTTTTTAGGAGGAAAAGGGAAAAGTGTAAGTTCCCACATTAAAACCCTTCTTTCCTCTGTAAGCTTCTGGAAGTTTCGATCTTCTCGACAACACGGACATCCACCTGCACTTCCCGGCCGGAGCCGTCACCAAGGACGGGCCGTCGGCCGGGGTCACCATCGTGACCTGCCTGGCCTCGCTGTTCAGCGGGCGGCTGGTGCGGTCGGACGTGGCCATGACCGGGGAGATCACGCTGCGGGGCCTGGTGCTCCCGGTGAGTCTGTGCGCTTCTCCGTTTAAATTGCCTCCTTCCGGTGAGAACCTGAGTTTTAAATACATAGAAAGTGCTTATAGCTATCCTGGTGACTCAGGTTGCACAGTCCCGCCAAGTCCCAGAACTATTTCCCAGGTCCCGACTTCTAATTATGCTTCAGTCTTACTCGTTGTAATTTGTCCATTTCGATTCTCTGGTGCTTCTTGATCCAGTTTTGGAGGACGGTGTGTTTCTAGGAATGTACCCGTTTGGTCCAGGCGGTCGGCTGTATTGGCACGTAGTTCATCCTGTTTCCTTGTTCGCGCCTTTGTATTTCCTGGTGTCAGTTATCACTTCTTTCATCGCTGGCTTCCTTTGGACTCTTTCTCGATGGTTCTGTGTTATCTCCTCAGAGAACCAGCCATTGGTCTCAGGGCTCTCTCGTGTTGGTTTTCCCTTTTCACTCCATTTTGTTTATTTCCACTCTTTCTTGTTTCTTTTACTCATTTTGGGCTTTACTTGTTCTTTTTCAGTTCCTCTAAGTGTAATTAGATTGAGATCTTCCTTTGTTCTCGAGGCAGAGCTGTAATGCTATGACTTTCCCTCAGGGGACGGCGTTCCGAGACCGAGAGTGTGGGTTGTGGTCTCATTGTCACGTTTCACGGTATCTTCGTTTCTTCCTTGGTCTCGTGAATCCATCCATCGCATAGGAACATGTTGTTCAGCCTCGTGTCTCTGTGTGTTTTTGCTTTTTGTGGACGTCTTTTGCAGCCCGGAGCCTAGGTCGTGGGCACCTGTCTCCTCCCGGGGGGTGGCCCAGCGGCCCAGCGCTAACCTGTGCAGGGGCGCCCCCTGGCGCCCAGCTGAGCTCTGCGGGCGGGCGGGCGGGGTCTGGTCAGCTAGCAGGACGCTTTGTCCAATCAGCCCCATCAGCCCGCAGGCGAGAGCCGTTTCTGCAGAGACTCTTAAGTGCAACCTTGACAACAGACAGGAGCATGGACAGAAGAAAACCGGAATCTTTCCCATTAAAAGGATGGACTCTAACATAACTGAAACCAAGAGAATTCACTGTCACTAACCTTTCCAGCAGCTTTCCCAGCTCACGTGTGACATGTTTAGACGCAGCGGTGAAGGTGCTGGGCCGGGCTCCCTGCAGGCCGAGGTCACCGCCTGCGTCTCCTCCCCTGCAGGTGGGCGGCATCAAGGACAAAGTGCTGGCCGCGCACAGAGCCGGCCTGAAGCGGGTCATCCTCCCGCAGAGGAACGAGAAGGACCTGGAGGAGATCCCGGGCAACGTGCGCCGCGACCTGAGCTTCGTCACGGCCAGCTGCCTGGACGAGGTCCTCAACGCCGCCTTCGACGGGGGCTTCTCGGTCAAGGCCAGGCCCGGCCTCGTAAACAGCAAACTGTAGGCTCAGAGCTTGTCTGTGCACAGAGAGGTGCTGGCAGGGCTGGCCGTGCACACCGCGGGTAAGCAAGACGCCCCTTCCCCTGAGCCGACAGCCGCCCCGAGAGTCTAATAAACAGATGGCACCGACTCCTGTCTTCGTAATCTCTGTCCCTGGGAAGGGGGGCGCGGGTCCCACTGCAGCCCGACAGAGCCTCTGCCGCCTGAGGACTTGCTAGAAATGTCCCCTCTGCCGCCCCGCCTGGGACCTCCCCCCCACACTCAGAAACCTGTGCTGGAGCCCCGGGGACTCGGACGCCCAGCCAAGGTCACGACCGGCTGGTAGAGGCCAGGGCCTCCGATCCCCCTGGATGTGCAAGGCGCACTGGGCAAAAGTGGGAACACAGCCCGTTAGACTGAAAATGACGTTTTCTGGTTGAGCATGTGTGCGGAGGCCCACACATCCCCACGTAGCGGAGGGAAGCAGCACACGCAACATCATGCAGGCACACGTTAGAAACACGCCGGCCCCGAATGCCGGGCACCTTACATACGAAGTCCAGGCACCAGAGGGAGGCCGCTGACCTTTCTGGGCTGGTCCCCACGCCCGTCACCCTGACCCGCAGCCTCCCCACCGCCTGCCGGCGCCGAGTCCCCGCCTGCGGGCTCTCCGCTCCTCTCCCCCGACTCACCCAGGACTGGGACCACCAGGTCAGGTGGAGCTTCCTGGGCCACAGCTGTCCTTACCAGCGCACCGCCAGTGTGCTGTACGCGGAGACTAGAACACGGAGTGAAATACCGTCCGTTCCAATGACCATCCAGCCAGTAACTGGCTGCAGTCTTCTACTCCGGCCGGAAGGAAGCACAGGTACGTCAGGAAACTGCGAGTTCTTGGAGGAGCATGGGGTCTGCACGTCACACGCTGCCCAGCCTGCTGGTGGGTGCCAGGGTCCGGGCAGGGCGAGGCGGGGCCTGGGCTGTGCTTTACAGTAAAACTCTTACATTCCAAACCTGCACTGATTCCTGCTGTGAAGCACAGAATCGGACAGGAAAACAGCTTTGGATATTTATCAACTTAGAGCTAAAGAAACACAAAGAGTTTTTAATTTGCCAGATATTCTTTTAATGAGAATTATAAAAAGACCAAAAACATTTTTTTTTTGCAAACTGCCATTTTTTTAAACAAATGCTTTGCTTTTAATTACAAATACTGTGTGAGATGATGCCTTCTTTTGCAAAACCAATAAATATGAGAGAACAAATTTTAAACATATGTGATTTGTCCAAGATATTGGGGGGGAGGCTGATTTATCAATATTTTTTTAAAATTAGTATATCCTACTACCTTTGAAAAAATAAATTTGAAGGCGTGACTCAACTGGGAAAAAAGAGAGAAAGAGACCGACCGACCGACCATCTTCCAGGTGCGATAAGCAGCTTCTGATCTTCCTCCCGGTGTTCCCTCGCCTTTCTGGAACTCGCATCTTCACAAGATGGCTGAATTTAAAGTATTTCTAATAAACTGATTAATGGGGAGAAAAAATATGTATGGAACACATATGTATAAACTTTACCTTAGACAAGTATGCATATCAAAAAAAACACTAACTTTAAAAAAGGTACAAAAAAAAAGATGGGAAATGGTTGAATTACAGAAAAGAAAGTCAAATTTATTTAATGAAAAAACTAGAATTAATAAAAATTAGCAAATACACACAAAAAATATATACACACACAGCAGCACTATGTATTGACTCAAAAGAGGGGAAGCAGTGGCCCAAGACCACTCAACATGGCTTGTCAGTTAAAGGAAGAAAAAACCCCAAACACGCACACGCACTCACACACTCACCCACTCACACCCAGAAACAAAAGTAGTTTTCAACAGTACACTCAATCTACAACAAGCACAAATCCAGAGTTATTTTACAATGCTTCCTTTCTTAATACAAAAGATGCCCGTCTTGGGTGTATATATATATTTTTTCAGTGGTTTACTGTTGACTTATTTTAAATATATTAGTGTTACTACATGCAGCCGTTTCCTGTATTGAACAGCCTTTCCGTTTATTTACCTTCATGGGACTAGCGCCACCTACCGACAGTCTCGGGGGCGGGCGGAGGCGGCCCGTTCTCTGAAAGTGAACGCAATGGTTAAACACTGGCCAGAAAACGTCGGATTGCCACTTCAACACATGGAAATAGTTACATTGATGCCTAAGTTGCCATTTTCTGCAAAAAGCTGTGCGATGCTGGTGTCAAAGACTAGACAGTCGCTGTTCATGATGGCTGTCGCGATTCCCTCGTGAATCGACCGCGGAGTGGCTTCCCAAGTCAATCGCCGCCTGTGACCGTTTAGCTCGAGTCGATAAGCGAAATTCTCCGCCTGCTTGCGCGTGCCGATCAGCTGCACGATCGCGAAGAACTGCTGGTGGCCGTCGTACTTCTCCTGCTTCTCCAGGACCAGCATGAAGTGGAAGCCGAAGCAGGACTGCATCATGACCCAGTCCACGGCGCCCGGCAGGTTGATGTCCGTGGCCAGGAAGACGATGTCCTCGCCCTGCAGCGTGGTGATGGACTTGTGCTGGTGCATCAGGTGCGGCATCACGGCGTCCAGCGAGCCCTGCCACTTGCAGGACGCGCCGGGGCACGGGCAGGAGTAAGGCCGGAACTCGCAGAGCTCCTCGTGGTCCGCCTTCTCCGTGTGCGGCAGCGTGATCTCGCAGCCGGAGGAGGCGTACTTACAAGGGAAGAGGACGGAGTTGGCCACCTTCTCCATCGCCAGGTTGCGGATGGACCCCAGGGGCCCCCGGCAGGTGGGACAGCACGTGAGCTTCGGGCGACAGTTGCTACAGACAAGGTGGCCGCTCTGACACTGGAGGATGGGCGGCAGCACATAGTCAAAGCAGACGGGACACTCGAAGAGGCTGGCCAGGTCATTGTTGGACGCAGTGGTGCCCGTCAGGGCGGGCACCCTCTGGGACGGTGTGCACTTGGAGGTCCCAGTCGGTAACGCTGTCGCAGTCTGGCGGCTCATTTCTAAGACAGAAACAAATAGAGTAAGAGGAGGAAGGACAAAAGTCATCATCGTTGTAACTTGGTTCATAAAGTCATGTGTTTCACACACAAAAATTTTTTAAGATATTTTTATTGATTTCAGAGACGGAGAGAAACATCAATAACGAGAGAATCATCCATCGGCTGCCCCTGCACAACCCTGCTAGGGATCGAGCCCTCAACCCAGGCATGTGCCCTTGATCGGAATCGAACCCGAGACCCTTCTGTCCCCAGGCTGATGCTCTATCCCTCACTGAGCCAACCGGCCAGGACTCATGCAAAATCTCTGTGAGCAAACAAGGGAAACAAATGGTTAAAAAGGAATCACGTATAAGATGCTTTCGATGAGGAGTTACAGGCTGGGTGAAATCTCTCGCCATGGTGTTCCGAACGCACAGACTTCCTCTCACTAAGAGGGAAGGTGAGACCACCCTTGGATGCCCAGGTGGAGGGAGGCTGACATACAACCGGGACCCAAGCAGCTGAGAGACGAAGTCGCTGAAGTCCCAGAGGGAAGATGAAAGCAGAGCACGGCTGGGTGTCCCCGGTAAAGCACTCCCTGTGCCGGGCTCGCTGTGCGGACACAGAACTGCCGCCCGGAGACACGGCCAGCAGGGGGCGGCACCCGGCGGAATGAGCGAGAGGACAGCACCTTAACCGGGACGGACCTGTGTCTTGGGTTCAGCTGGTCTGAGAGCAGACCATTAACTCCATCAGCCACGTTTCTACTAAATTAAAACTCAATGCCTCAGAGTTAATGTCTCAATTATAACTGTTACTCTGTTGCAAAGAATTTACCTTTGAAAACAATGCTGCTAACAAGAAAGAAAAGGGAAAAAACGATGCTGGCTACCAATGTGACCATGTACGTGCCACTTGGGGTCCTCATTACTCCATTCTACACCCTAACACGGGCTGAGGGTGCAAAAAAGAGATCAAGCCCGCTCTCACGAAAATATCCTGAAGTTCAAGGAAGGTGGAGCAGAATCCCTGCAGAGCGCAGCCCTCACGGGGGAGGCAGGAGGCAAGGTCAATGCTCTTCACCTGAGGCCCCAACAGCAGGGCCCAGCCCCCAGGAGGGAGTGCAGAGGCGGCCCAGGGCCCGGGATGGTCCGTGCTGCTGTCAGCGGAAGATGCCCAGTGTGGCCCCATGCCCGCTTCCTGGCCAGCTGTGCCCTCAATGAGCGCAGGACCATTGGAAAGGGGCTCCTCGGGCAGAAGGCTAAGCCCCGACGCCTCCCAGTCACTGACCTGCACCCGCTCACGATGGGGTCAGGCCCCTGGGATGTCTGCAGGCTGGTGTGACCCACAGGAGGACCCTGTGCAACTGCTGGCCTACGAGCAGTGGACAGTAGTTCAGGTCCAAGTTCAATGGGCCGCCGCCTGCTCCCAGCGCCGTGGGGCGGGAGCACAATTAAACCCTGTGCCCAGTGGGAGGCGGCCGCACGCGCCGTGTTTCCTGTGAAGGGGACCCGCATTGCATGGCGCTGCCAGTCCCTCCAGCTCCAAAGGTGGCCCAGGGCCGCCCTGGCCAGAAGAGCGCCCTCAGCCCGGACCCAGAGCCTGGGCGCTCCGGGAGGGCGCGGTGTGCCCTGCAGGGGGAGCCAGTGAGCGGAGGCCCGCAGCCGTCCTCCACGCAGGGCCGCCCCCGGCGGTTCCCTGTGCGGGCTGCGCGCCCCGGCCAGCGCCCAGGTACCTCTTGTCCGGCGGGTCCCGGCCGGCCAGCAGCGGAGCGGGCCGCAGCCCCCGGGCAGGGGCGCCAGGCGGCCCGCCGGCCGCGGGGGGGCCCCTCCGTGCGCGCCCCGCTCCGCGGAGGCCGGAGGGGCGGCCTCTCCCCCGCGGCTCAGACCCCGGCGCCGCCACCACGCGGGCGCCATCGTGGCGCCGCCCGGCAGGTCCCCGCCCCGGGCCCATGGGCAGGGCAGGCCCCGGCCTGTCGGCGGCGGAGGCGGCGGGGGGCCCTCTGGAGCGGCCGCCGGCTGAGCCGGGACGGGGGACCGGGAGAGGGGAGAGCCCGGGCCCGGAGGCCCGGCGGGGCGGGGCAAGGGGGGTGCAGGGCGGGGCCCGGGCCGGGAGGGGGAAGAGGGGAGCCCCACAGGCCCCGCCCACCCGGCCCAGGGCAACTCCGGCCCCGCCCCGCACCCCCGGCACCCCCGCCCTAGCTCAGTGCAGGGTGGGCCGTGGCTGCCGCCCGAGCTGCAGGCTCCCGGCCGGACCGCCCCTTCCCCTTCCCAACTCGCTTCCCCATTTCTACCCTCGGCCCCACCCAACAACACCAACAACACCATCTACACACCCACCCACCCACACAGCGCCGACTCCCACTCCGCCCCCGCCGGGCAGCCCCGCCCCCGGTAGCCCGGCCCGAGCGGCTGGTTCGGCTCCCCCGGCCCTCCCCTCCGGCCCGGCCCTCCCCGCGCTGGCATCGCCCGGCCTGTCATTAGAGCCGCCGGGCGGGCACCCCAAACCCGCAGGCGGCCTGCCCCGCCCCTTTCCCAGCAGCGCTCAGCGCCAGGCCGCCCATCAGGCTGTTCCCACCAGCCTCTGCCTGAAGCTCCTCGGGACAGTGGCCTTGCAGCTTGCTGACAAACATAAATTACTGTGACCCCCGTCTCAGCTTCCAGGATGCACTCACAGCCTCAGGTCTCTGCGGGGAGGGGGCTGCCAATGCTTTGGGCAGAGAAACTTCCCAAACAGCAGTAAGGCAGAACCCAGAGGCTCCGAGCAAGCAAAGGGGGGCGACTCCCTGAGCAGTTTCCCTTTCCCCAAACGTCCCGGCCGCACAGCCCGCCCCGCGCACCTGCGGGGCCTTGCTCCACAGAATCCTCCGAGGGCGTTGGGGCAGCTAGAGTCACCTGCGCTGCATTCAGGCCCAGCCACCACCCTCCACCCCCTCCTCCAGCCCCCAAACTGTAACGCTGGGCCACTTCCAGCCTCGGTGGCTTTGTGTGGATTGAGGAAGGTGGGTAACGTCTATCAGAGGAGAGCCAAGTCCCGAACAGGTGCTGGCTGAGGCCTCCTCCCTCGCTGGAGGCTGGAGGCCTCGCCGGGGGCCAGGCCGGCCATGCAGAGGGGCCTCCGGTGGACAGGGGACAGCGTGCTTGTGAAGATCAGGGCCCCTTCACTGGCTTCCCCTGCAGCGAGCCGCGAAGGACTTTCTCAGCCAGGAACTCTCTCCTACGCCGGCTCCAGAGCTCAGCTTTTCACAAATCGCATCCACCGAGACCAGCACGGGCCCGGGGAAGCACAAGCCCACAGCTGCCCGGGCGCACCGGTCCCCTCCACTTCCCAGAGGACGGGCCTCCAGCCCATTGAGGGGCGCTAACACGCTCCTTACAACTAAGCTTCCCCGGGAAAAACAGGCCGCCGGGCCGGGCACGGCGAGGCCTCCTCGGCTCCTTCAGACCGGACCCTGTAGGGAGGCCGCCCCCAGATGACCCGGCCAGCTATCCGGGTGGGGGGACGGTGGTTTTAGCTGTATTTCCTCCAAAGGGGACGATAAGGAAGCTGCTTCGTAAGCATGAGTCTAGCTGAGAAGTGTGGAAACAAAGTCAGTAAAAGCTGCATTCTGAAGCGAGTGGAAAGGTCAGCCAGGACGCGGCCGTGACCCCTGAGGAGTTGTGGCTGCACTAACCAGGATGCTCTCCTTCCCCACGCTCCTGCGGGAGCCACAGCGGGAGCCGGCACACAGCACGGGCATGGGCACCGCCCTTCTCTGCACCCACTGCTCCCTCCTCTGCCGGGCATTCTGCTCCGACACCCACACAGGCTGTCCCCATCCCCCCTGTGGCCACACACAGCTGCCTCTTCCTCCCCCATCATTCTGCTCTCTCAGGTACTCAGCTTCACAAATCAGGACTTCCGGTCTTTGTCCCGCCCCCTGCCCCCCTCTTCTAGTCTTTCCTGGCTTGGTCAACAGCACCCGGACCCGCACAGCGGCTCACCCCGAAACCACTGGATCCCTGGCCCCTCACTCCAGACCTCACCCATCGGCGAGTCCCACTCATTCTGCCTCCAGCACACGTGGAGCCCATCCCCTCCCTCCTGTCCGGCCGCTCCTCCATCCAGAGCCCAGGCAGGCCTCCCTCCCTGCCCGCCCCAGGCAGCCCGGCTCCAAGTTACAGAGCTGAGCTCCTCCTGAGACTTCGGAGGGTGCCTCTCAGTGCGCTTCCTCGCCACACACACACACACACACACACACACACACACACACCCGCTCCAGCTCCTCTCTGCGCTCCGTCCCTCCGCCGCAGGGCCTGCCTGCTCCTTCAATTCATGGGCAGTGTCCCCTCCCACAGAGGTCCTGGCGCCTGGATCCAGCCCTGGACGCCTCATGGGACCATCACGTGGTCATCCTGTCCCGCTCCCCACTGGCGCTCGCGTGGTAATATTTAGAGAAACTCGGTAACTCACTCCAGTGGTTTTAGAATTAATGAAGCACGTTCTTTGCACTGTGCCTTCAGGTGCAAAGCAGGCGCTGTCCCTGCTTTCAGGAGGCTTAAGGTCACAAACTGCGGAGGGACTGAGCCAGGCAGGGCCTTCCAGTCCTGGAGGGCTCGCTCTCCGCAGCCACGTTGTCGGGACACGGCAGAGGCCACAGACATGGAGCTGCTCTCACGTGGGAACCACGGCGTGGAGAGCTGCCTCACCTGCCGAGGGGCCCGGATGGAGATGGAGACAATGGCGAGCGAAGGCACAGACGTGTGCCGGACACAGAACTGGGGCCAGGCCGGTGAGGCGGGACAGACAAGGTCCCCACCGAGACCGAGGTCTATTGGGAGTTCAGAAGAACCTCCAGCTCAGGGGCCACGGAGAGGGCGCCAGTCAGCGGGCGGTCTGGAGGAACTGAGGGGTTCAGTCCAGGCTGAGCCTGGAGCTGTGCAGGAAGAGGAAGCGGAGTATACGCACCTGCAAGCACGGGGGATGGCAGGGGAGCAGCGGGAGAGCAGCTCAGGGGCTGTGTCCTTCGTCCATGAGGACCTGGGGGCTCTGTCCTGGCACCTGGCACTGCGTTAGAGACTCAAGCAGGCAGGCCACTCAGAGGCAGAGAGAAGGACTATGAAGGTGAAAAGGAGGGGGACAACGCCAGATTTGAGATAACCGACAGCAGAAGCAGCACCCTAATATATAAAAGTGCAATCTCACGTTGCACTTGTCAACCTCATCATACACAACATCGCGAGTGAAGTGGAATGTAAAGCAGGATCACGTGGTGATGACGTGTGTCAGTGCAGTTGCGTCAGTGGTAACCACCACCAATACACGGAGCGGGGAGCGGGGAGCAGGCCGCTGTGAGGGGACGGGCGCTCAGGGGTCTCAGTCCCCTCTCTTTGCTGCGCACCTAAGACTGCTCCTCAACCGAAGTCATTTAGAGATGGCCTACACGCAAGAGAACGTGAGTCCGCAGTTCAGCAAGCAACACCGCCGAGTGCCAGGCGCAGGACACGCGGGCACAGAGGCCGTCCCGGCGCCCACACGCCCACGCCCTCACCGCGCTCAGAGATCGCTGCGGAGAGAAACCCTCGGAGAAACACTGAGGAGGAGGGTTTTACCCCAGGTTTGGTTGTTTTTGGAGGCGGTGGGGGGAGCGGCGGGTAGGCTAGGGTTTCATATGTTAATTATGCTGGTAGTGAGGTCCATACCAAAAACACCCAGAACCTTTTACAGGGTGCACAGAAAAGCCGTCAGTGAAGTCTGAGACAGGTTTCTGGAAGAGGGAAACCGCCCATCCTTAGACACTGAGTGGACACACTGCTCTCCGGGGTGAGCGGTCACCAGCCTGTTATGTAAGACCTGCTTTCAAACACGGGAGAGAAGCCCGGCCAGACATCCCCTCCGTAACTCCGGCCGGCTTCAGCCCGGCTACAATATCCTCACGTCAGAGGCCGGAGCACTGCTCCGCGGCAGTTCGGTGAGAATTCCCAGGCTTAGAGGCAACCGATGTGAAGCTGAACTAAACAAATTTGCAGTCTGCGGGACACTTGTCCAGAGAAGATCCGTCTCCCCATCTCCTCGCTCGCTTCGGGAGAAACATTACTAAATGTGGCTAGATCGCGCTGGAAAGGGGCCAGGGGGCGGGCGTCCCGCAGGCCAAGTCCAGAACAGAAAGAAAATATGTGGCAAAGCAAGGGCTGCACTCACCGTTCCCGGGCCCGGAGTCCTGTCTTTAATGTCCAGAGCCACCAGCACCTCAAAAAACAGCCTGCACCTTTGTTTAACCCGCTTTAGCCTCAAAACCTGCGTGTCCCCAGTCCTCCTGACCAATGACCAAGCCCTGTCCGCCCGGCGGAGCTGCCTCCGGGGACGGACGGCCAGGTCCCCGGCTCTGCTCTCCAGGAATGTCCCCCGGGGGTGGCCACCGGGCACCGCGCCTCCGGTCAGTCACTCCGGCCCCGAGCCCGTGCGCTCAGCCCCCTCCCTCCGCGTGTGAGCCCGGCGCTGGCCTCTCCCCTCCCGCCCTCCCGGCCCCGCACCTGTCCCCCGGCCCCCAGCCGCCTCTCCCCGGGACCGGGCCCGCGCTCCCCACGCCCCGCCGGCCGAGGGCCCCCATTTGGGACCGGAGCAGCCGCCCCGCCGCGCGCCCCCCGGGCCCGGCCCCCGCCCCCCGCCCCCAGCCCGGCCGGCGCCCCGGGGGCGGAGCCGCCTGACCCATTTCGCGGGGGAGCGGGAGCGGGAGCGGGAGGCAGAGCGAGGCGCGGGCTCCCGCCCAAGGTCACCGGCCGGCGCGCAGGGCTGGCGCCCGAGCGGGGCCCGACCCCCGAGCGCGCTCCCCGCCCCGGTGCCCGGCGGAGCCCCCGGCGGCCAGGCGGGGGGCCGGGCCGGGCCGCGTCCTCGGGCCGCGGGGACCGTGACACCGGCTCCGGCCTGTCCCCCCGCCGCGCACCCCGGCGCCTCCCCGGCGGGGACCCCGCAGGCCCGCCGCACCCCGGGGCCCGGGGCCCCCAAAGTACCGGGGCGCGCGGCGGGCACCGGGGCGCACGGGCAGCAGCGGAGCCTCCCGGCGGCGGCGCCACCTCCGCCGACGCCACAGACGGGAGGCGCCGCGCTCCCCGCACAAAGCAGGCCGGGCGGCCGCTCAGCTGACCTCCGCCATGTTGGCCGCGCACCGGCCCCTCCGCAACAAAGACCGGCCCGCCTCCCGCCGGCCCGCCTCCCGCCGCGGGCGGCCGCAGCCCTCCCCGCCGGCGCGCGCCCCTCCCCGCGGCCCGGGCGGCGGCGGGGGCGGCCCGGGGCCCGGACCCGGACAAAGGCGCCGGCCCGCCGCCGCGCCCTCCCGCCGCCGCCGCCGCCGGGCCTGCTCCCGAGGCCCCGGGCTCCTCCCGCCGCCGCCGCACTCACCTGAGGGCGGAGGGCGCGCCGGGACCCGGGCCCCGGCCACACGCGCCCCGTCGCCGCCGCCGCGGCAGCCCCCGCTCCGCGCCGCGCCGCCGCCCGCCGGGCTCGCTGGGCCGCCGCCGCCGCCGCCGCCGCCGCCCGAGAGCGCGCCCCGCAACGGCCGCCGCTCCCCCCGCCGCCGCCGCCGCCGCCGCCCGCGCGTCCTCGAGCCGCCGCGCGCCCCCGCTAAACGCCTCTCTCTGCGGCGGCCGCCATGGAGCGCGGCCCCGCGCGCCGGGCGGGGCTTCCTGCGCAGGCGCGGCGGCGGGCGCACAGCGCGCAGGCGCGGGCCCTGGGGGCGGGGCCTGTGCCGGCGGCGGCGGGAGTTCGGCTCCTCGCTCGGCGCCCGCGGACGGGGATCGACGCCGCTGCGGGGCCCCGGCTTCCTCGCTCGGGGGCTCGGTGCGGGGTCGCGGGGCCGGGAAGGCGATCCGGGCCGCCGCCGCCCGCCCGCCCCAGTGGCCGGGCTCGCTCAGCGCCTCCGGGGCCTGCCCGCCGCCCTGCCGGCGGCCGCCGAGCCCATCCTGAGGGTCCCCCATCCTGAGGGTCCCCCATCCTGAAGGCGCCAGGCCCCCCGCCCTGGGGTTCGAGCTGCTCTTCCCCCCTCTCCGCCCCCCCAGAGCGGGGCTCGTTCAAGGTTTGTTCCGGCGGAAAAGCGAGCCCGGTGTTCGCCTGGAGGTTCCGGGGCTCCGCCTTCCCCTCCAGCAAACCGGAGGGAGAGTCCCCGGAGGGAGAGACCCCGGAGGGAGAGACCCCGGAGGGAGAGTCCCCGGAGGGAGAGACCCCGGAGGGAGAGTCCCCGGAGGGAGAGACCCCGGAGGGAGATGATCCCGGAGGGAGAGTCCCCGGAGGGAGAGACCCCGGAGGGAGAGACCCCGGAGGGAGAGACCCCGGAGGGAGATGTCCCCGGAGGGAGATGTCCCCGGGCGGGGCCGCCCTCGGCGCTCACCGGAGCGCCCAGGGCGCCTGGCATTTCCCGCCCCGGCCACAGCTCCGCGGGGAAACCCTCCAAACTGCCCACGTGGAGACAGTGACTTTCACTTGTTAGCGCCCTCCGGGGACTCCCCCGCCCAGCTGGTTGGTAGCAGGCTGTCCCAGCAGCGCTCAGCTCAGCTTTCCCCCGTGGCCCCAGCCCTGCAGGCTGCTGGCTCCCACCCTCCGGCCTGGGCCGTGGCTGCCGCGACACTGTGGGCTGCCATTGGCCATCGTCCTGGGGCTGCTCTGCTCCCCTGAATACTTCTTGTGGCCGAAGTCTTCCTGGGGACCATCGGCCAGTCCAGACTGTCTGTTGAGGTCCAGAAAGGGAGACGCCTAGTGTCCTTTTTTTAATATATTTTTATTGACTTCAGAGAGGGAGGGAGAGGGGGAGAGAGAAACATCAATAATGGGAAGGGATCATTGATGGGCTGTCTCCGGCATGCCCCACACTGGGGATCAAACTCGCAGCCCAGGCTTGTGCCCTTGATTGGAATCGAGCCCTGGACCCTTCAATCCACTGGCCCACGCTCTAGCCACTGAGCCAAACCAGCTAGAGCAGTGGTCGGCAAACCCATTAGTCAACAGAGTCCAATATCAACAGGACAAGGATTGACATTTCTTTGGAGAGCCACATTGTTTAAACTTCAACTATACAGGTAGGTACATCGTGGCTCTGTAGTTGAGCATCGACCTAGGAGCCAGGAGGTCACGGTTCAATTCCCGGTCAGGGCACAGGCCTGGGTTGCGGGCTCGATTCCCAGTGTGGGGCAGCAGGAGCCAGCCGATGTCTCTCTCCCTCTCTGAAATCAATAAGAAAATATTTCTTTAAAAAAATTAAAAAAATAAGTTGTAAGCACTGGGGGGAAACAGCCCGCTGGGTCCCGGCGTCCCTCGCCGGCCAGGGGGTGACAGAGCAGCGTGGGGACCGGGGGGCCTGCCAGGCAGCGTTCCACTCTGGGCCCGAGGGTGGGCGCCTGGGGAGAGCACGTCGGGGGAGGGAGCCTCCTGGTCCCCTGAGGTCCCAGCCAATGGCGGTTCCCTCTGCTCCCTGGAACCTGGGCCGGGTGTGCTGAGCCTGGAGCTGGCCCTGGGGACGGGCTCCGGAGACAGCGCCGGCCTGACTGCCCTCTTTCCTCTCCACCAAAGGGGCGCCCCATGGCATCTGTCCTGGGGCTCCCCCAGGAACGGCGTTTAATGTAGGCCCGAGGCCAGTGCCCACTCGCTGGCACCTTCCCCATGGCTCTGCCTTCCACGCCGAGGCTTTGCCGGGCGGTGGAGGGGACAGAGGGCTCGGCGGGACGTGCTCCGGCCCCTGCATTGGTCCGTGCGTTTCAGTCCGTTTACTTGAGCCGTGGCCTGTGTGGCTCAGCCGCAGAGCGTCGCGTCTCGGGTTCGATTGTGGGTCAAGGGCATGAACCTGGGTTCGTTCCCAGCAGGCGGGTCAGGATACGAGGGGGAGGCAACCAATCCATGTGTCTCTCTCACATCAATGTTTCCCGCCCTCCCTCCCTCCTTTCCTCCCTCCCTTCCTCCATCCCTTCCACTTTCTAAAAATCAAGGGGGAAATGTGATTAACTAAATCAGGTGAGGATTAACCAAAAAACAGTTTTTATTTTTCCATCACGGTTTATCCCCTCCATGTCCCCTCCCCCCTCCCCTAATCACAACCTGATATTTAAAATCCTCACCTGAGGGTATGTTTTTTTATTGGTTTTGAGAGGGGGGGGGGGAAGAGACAGAGAGGGAGGACGGGAGGGAGAGGGTGGAAGGGAGGGAGAGGGAGAGGGAGGGAGGGCGGGCGGGCGGGAGGGAGAGGAGGCATCCGTGTGAGAGAGAACCGGCATCGGTTGCCCCCATCCACTCGCTGGCTCCCCTGCGGGTGGTGCCGCCCTGAGGGTGCTCACTCCTCCAGCCCCTGCCAGTCCCCGGCAGCCTGGTGAGTGGGCCCCGGCCCTCAGGCGCCTGCTGTCCTCTCCCAGCCAGAGCGCGGCCGCTGCCGGGTGACACTCAGCCCCCGGCAAGGCCGCCCTCGAGCCGCCATGACTGGTGGCGGCCGCACGGTGACCTCCGAGGGCGGGTGACCTCCGAGGCGGTGTCCGTGTTTGGCCAAAGGCCAGTTCACAAGACCAAGCCCCGTGGGCATCACACACACACCCCTTGCCTAAGGAAGGGCTTCTGGCCCTGGCTGGTTTGGCTCAGTGGATAGAGCATCGGCCTGTGAACTGAAGGGTCCCTGGTTCGATTCCTGGTCAGGGCATATGCCAGGGGTTGCAGGCTGGATCCCCAGTGCAGGGTGCACAGGAGGCAGCCGGTATGATTCTCTGTCATCATTGTTGTTTCTGTCTCTCTCCCTCTTGCCATTCCTCTCTGAAATCAATAAAAAGGTATTAGCCCAGACTGGTGTGGCTCAGTGGTTTAGCACCAACCTATGAACAAGGAGGTCAGGGTTCGATTCCCGGTCAGGGCACAGGCCCGGGTTGTGGGCGTGCAAGAGGCAGCCAGTCCATAATTCTCGCTCATCACTGATGTTCCTCTCTCTCTCTCTCTCTCTCTCTCTCTCTCTCTCTCTCTCTCTTTCTCCCTCTCCCTCTCTGAAATCAATAAAAGTATATTTAAAAAAATAAATAAAACTTCTAAAAATAAGATATTAAATGAGAAAGAAAGAAAGAAACCACGTCAGTCTCCTCTCTCGCTAGGACAGGAACCCCATTTGTCACTCAGCCTCTGAGCTCAGCCCGGCTGTCAGCCAGCCAGAGCCTTCCGGGCCTCAGAGCGGAGGCTCCTCCCTCCGAGATTCTATCAGCGTGGGAAGGAGGGCAGGCCCTCCCGGTCAGACCGCCGGACAGGACAGAAGAGTGTTCCCCGCCTCAGACACTCCTGCCCCAGCGCGCGCGCCCACACACACACACACACACATGCACACACACACTAACACACACACACACACACAAAAACTCACACACATACACTCACACACAAACTCTCACACACAAACACAAACTCACACACACAAACACACACACACACACAAACTCACACATGCACACACACACACAAACAAAAACACACACATACACTCACACACACAAACTGAAACACAAACACACACACACATGCACACTCACACAAACACACAAACTCACAAACTCTCACACACATGCACGCACACACACACAAACTCACACACATACACACACAAACTCACACACAAACACAAACTCACACACATACACACACACACACATGCACACACACACAAACTCACAAACACAAACTCTCACACACATGCACACACACACACAAACTCACACACATACACACACACAAACACACACACAAACTCACACACAAACACAAACTCACACACATACACACACACACATGCACACAAACACACAAACTCTCACACTCACACACACACACACTCAAGATTCCGCCTGGTGGATGGACTCAGCAGCACCCCCAACGAGTCCTGCCAAAGGCGGTGGAGAAGAGGCCTGGGACCCAGCGGGAGCACCCCAGAGGCCAGGGACCCACAGGGAGCACCCACAGGGAGCGGGAGCACCCCAGAGGCCAGCTGGTTGCAGGAAGCTCCCGGGGCCTCACGTTCACTCTGTTTCTTCAGGGGGAAGGGCAGGTGCTCAGAGTTCCAGGAGCTGGAGGCCATTCAGGTGTTTCCTATGCCCGGTGGCCTGCGGGGGTCTGGTCAGTAACAACACTTACCAGAACTTTCCAGTCCCTCAACTGCAGTTTGTACAATCCCTGTCTCCCCCTCTCCCCCAAGAGACACCGAAACTCACTCCATGGGTCCATATATTTTTTTAATACATTTTATTGATTTCAGAGAGGAAGAGAGAGAGAGAGAAACGTCAGTGATGAGAGAATCACGGATTGGCTGCCTCCTGCGCGCCCCACACTGAGGATGGAGCCTGAAACCCAGGCCTGTGCCCTGACGGGGAATCGAACCGTGACCTCCCGGTTCCCAGGCCGACGCTCCACGCCTGAGCCAGGCCGGGGTTCAGTGCCCAGGAGTCTGTTCCGTGTCCCGTGACAGGCTTCCCGGGCCCCGGGCAGGTGGCCGCCCCTCCTGGAGAGAACCTTGCACTGAGTCAGGGCGCTGAGCCTGGGTCCCGGGGCCGCAGGGGAAAGGGGTGAGGAAGGGGGCGC